ACACACACACACACACACACACACACACACACACATACACAATTAGGAAATTTTTCTACAAGATGGAAGGAAAGACAAAATAAATCATAACAGAAAAGGAGGGGGAAGAAAATAGGAATTAACTGGGAGGGGGGGAGGCCTGCCTAAACATCCATGTTTTCAGTTGATTCTTAAAAATACCCAGCGAGGGAGCCGCGCAAATCTCAGGAGGCAAGTTGCTCCAGAGGCGAGGAGCCACTGCCGAGAAGGCCTGGTTTCTTGTTTTTTCCTTCCGGGCCTCCCTCAGCGTCAGGCTCCTCAGCCTCACCTCCTAACTCACGTGAGTGACACGGGTAGAACTGTGTGGGAGTAAGCATTCCGCCAAGTATTGAGGCCCTAAACCGTTTAGGGCTTTAAATGTAAGCATCAGAACTTTGAAGTCAACACAGAACCGAATGGGCAGCCAGTGCAGCGTGGCCAGAACAGGAGAAATGTGATGGTATTTTCTCGCTCCGCTAAGGAGTCTGGCCGCCACATTCTGCACTACTTGGATTATTGGCGTCAACCTCAAAGGTAGCCCCATGTAGAACACGTTACTCTGGTCTAATCTCGAGATTATGAGTGAATGAACCAAGGTAGTGAGCGCCCCCACATTGAGATAGGGTTGCAGCCAGGCTATCCACCAAAGATGAAAAAAGGCGGTGTGGACCACTGACGCCACCTGAGTCTCCATGGTGAACGCCGGGTCCAGGTGGATCCCCAGACTGCGAACCCCACTCTTTTTGCGGCAAGGGTCACCCCCCCAAACGAGAGGGAGTCACCCAAGACTCTAATAGTGGGGGTGCCCACCCTCAGAACCTCCGTCTTCTCCGGGTTCAGCCTCAGCACATTTTCTTGCATCCATTGCAGTACAGCCCCCAGGCAGCGCTGAAGGGACAGAACGGCATCACCTGCAGTTGGTGGAAATGAGATGTAGAGCTGGGTGTCATCAGCATACTGATGACATGATGCCCCACACCCCCTGATGACCCCACCCAGCGGCCTCATATAGATATTAAACAGTACTGGGGAGATAATCGACCCTAGTGGAACCCCACAATTGAGACTCCATGGGGACGAGATACTCTCCCCAAGCTGAACTTTCCTAAGCTTCTCTCTGTCCTACTGGATGAGACAGCACTGGACAATGCAATTGAGATTCACTTGTCCCCCATGGCCTCATAAAATAGTCAAGTATTATTGGATGAGTTTCAATCGTTGAGACCTGAGGATGTGGACAGGGTGCTTGGATCTGTCTGTTCGACCACCTGCTCAATCCTTGCCCATCTTGGCTAATTGGAAGATCTCTGCTTTCCCCTTCACTTGTTTTTTTTTCCTCTCCTCAGCTTACTTCTGTGTATAAGACGGCCCTCAATTTTTGGTCTACAGATTTTAGACAAAAGTATAGTCTTATACATGGAAAAATACGGTATATCTCTTGAAGATAGCTGTGCTGTTTACATGCCTCTGTTGTGTGTCCTGTCAGTTCTGACCCTTGTTCTCATCCAGATCTATTCACTTCCATCCTGAAATTGATTTAGCAGATCTAGGAACTAGCAGCTTTTATATTGTTGAAAGAGTTAATGTCTCTCTCCAATCTTATCTGCAACTCACCCTAAATAATGATGATTAATACAAGAGAAAGCAGGAATATTTCTCACTGCAAGTCTTAAATGGAAAGAGAACAGGAGGTACTGTTTGGTCAGGTGAATGGTTGAGGTTTGCCTAATCTTTTTATGATCTCTTCCCTGCAAGTTTTCAGCAACTGCTTTCCCAACTTATTTGGCCAAACTGTAGGTAAGGATTGTTCTGGGTTTTTCGGGCTTTTTGGCCGTGTTCTGAAGGTTGTTCTTCCTGACGTTTCGCCAGTCTCTGAGATGCCGGCCACAGAGACTGGCGAAATGTCAGGAAGAACAACCTTCAGAACACGGCCAAAAAGCCCGAAAAACCCAGAACAACCATTAGATCCCGGCCGTGAAAGCCTTCGCGAATATGTAGGTAAGGACACTGTGAACAGAGATGGACTCACAAATGATGTGAAATATTATAGGAGTTTAATAGTAGAAGTTAGCATACTCAAACATTAACTTTTCTTTAAGCTAATCCACACTAACATTTTCAATTTAGCTAAAATTTAGCTATGCATGCCATTGCAATAACCTCAGTCTTTACAGATGCAGTTTAAATTTTAAGCTGGGCTCTTCCTGGTTCCATTTCCTCCGAAGGAAACACATTTAGCATTTTTAACCACCTGTCCTTTCTCATTTCAAAATTTTACCCTCACAATGAATGAGTAGCTATATACGAAATGGACATTAAATAGGAGAAATCCTTAACCACAACCTCAATAACCTTCGTTAAAATGGATTTTTAAAAACTCAATAAAGGAAATTCAGACTTAATATCAGAAAGAATTTGCTGATACTAAGAGCTGTCTGACAATGCACCAGGCTACCTTAGAATGTGGTGGATTCTCCCTTACTGGAGATTTTTAAACACATGTCAGATGCTCTTCTTTCAGCATGCCTTAAAAGAACGAAAAGGAAAACAAGCTTCACCTCACACAGAGAGTCAACCAAACTTCATGACTAAAATTATTGTTTTCATATGACGTCATGACTTCTCATATGCTACTCAACACTCTTTCTTTAAATTAATTCCATCTTTGCATTTTCCCTCTCTGTTCTCTCATCTGAACCCTGAAGGTCTATCTTCCATCTCATGAGTCACATACCCAATCGCTGACTTCACATATCTATCATCAATTTGATTTTCTTCTTAAGTCTTACCACACCTCAGCCCCCCGTCTACATGCTTCATCTTTTTTTGCCACTCCAGGTCCTTTACAATCTGTAACACAGGATTGCCTTAAATTTACCTTGTCATGACTATATGAGAAATCATACAAATGATTTTTGCACTTCATAGGCTGTCATGAGACCAGGTCCTTAATTACTTGCAGGTGTGAGACCAGGGCATGACAGCATGTGACAGACATGCCACAAAATAGCTCACACTGCATCTGCAATTCCCCTTATACGATTGGTGACCCCAAAAGAATACTAACCTGCTCTTTATTTTTAAAAATGTAAATAGCAGGTTTTTCAAAGAGTGATTAGGCTAATTGTAGATAATCAGAACAGCATTTTATCTAGTTAGCCTCTAAACTGAATCAATCTATATTTATCAGGTCTGTTGTGTTAAAAACTATTTGACTATATAAATCAATTTGACTATTTCAAAATATGAATAAACCTGCCTACCTGAGATGGACATTCCATGTTAGCCTAATGAAAATAAAATACTTACTCAGTAAGAAAAACATCTTACTCTTACCTTCCCATCACAGGTACAGTGGTGCCTCGACTTTGAAACTTAATTGATTCCAGAACTCTGGTCGTAACTCGAAATGGTCATAAGTCGAAGCACCATTTCTGTGAGAAATGCACTGAAATGCAATTAATTCATTCCAGCCGAAGAAAAAAATCACAAAAAATCCCCACACTGCAAGACCCATCAGAAACGCGATTAATCCGTTCCAGCCAAAGGGGGGGAAGCAAACAAAGCCTTCAAGACCCTTCGGAAATGCAAACAAACAAAAAACAAAACAAACCCGTTCCAGCCAAAGGGGGGGGGGAAGCAAACAAAGCCTGCAAGACCCTTCGGAAATGCAAACAAACAAAAAACAAAACAAAATACCAAGCACAAAGCAAACAAACTGTCCAAAACCCTTCGGAAACGCAAAAATAAAAAAAGTGAAGCAAAAAGCAAACAAACCATGCAAGACCCAACTGAAATGGGGGGGGTGCAAAAATAAAAAAGTGAAGCAAAAAGCAAATAAACCATGCAAGACCCAACTGAAATGGGGGGGGGACCCAAAAAGCAAACCCTGCAAGACCCATTGGAAATGGGGAAAAAAAACCAAAAGCAAACAAACCCTGTGAGACCCATCACAGCACAGAAACAATCCCACCACGCAGCCCAAAACCATGCTGCAAAACCCACCCAGAACAGTTTTTAAAAAGTAGAAAGCAGCATATTACCAGGCAGTCCAAAGCTTCCTCTCATCGCACACTCTCTAGCTGTTGGGGCGAAAGAGCTACAAAGAAGCAGCCTCTTCGCCACCAATGGTTAGCAATTTGAATTCCTCGCCTTTTTCCCCTGCCTTTTTCTGGTTGTAACTCGAAGCTCCGGTCGCAAGTAGAAGCAAAATTTTGCAGCCTGAGCTGGTCGTAATTCAAAATGGTCATATCTCGGGACATTCGTAAGTCGAGGCACCACTGTATTGGCTTTGTGTTCACTACTTTGTTTTTGTAACAATGAGGCTAGACCAAAGTGAAGGGAAAGAGAAATTAGGGGAAAAATGGGAAGAATATGCAACAGTTTCAGATCATATATTCACACAGGAAAATAATGTTCCCTCTATAGGAAGGCTGGAAAAGTTTTGACCCCAACTTTCAGCAATCCCAAGCAGCACAGCCAGAAGCAAGATGCCCTTCCCTGCTCTGTGAGTTAAAAAAGAAAAGTTTGAAACTATAAACAGCACAACAAAGAGAAAAAAACTATGAAAAGCAGAAAGCATAGATAGGGTCCATATAAATAAACAACGTTGTTTTTTTGCCATCACTTAACAGATGTTCAAGTTGCATTGATGTGAACTAAATTTGAAGTCAGCATTTTTTGCTGTGCTAAATACAGTAGTGCTGGCCTATCTGTGGTATCAGTATCTGCTGATCCACTTATCCACTGGCTGAAAATACTAAACAACCCCCCCCCATGAATACCCATTTACAGTATGTGCATTTCCAGGATGTATTTACCTAAGGTGTCCACTCAAGGGGGCCACAGACCACACAACATATAGCATACAATACTTTCATGTTTTTCAGCATCTGCCCCGGGGGGGGGGGTTGAACTGATCCTCCATGGATACTGCTGTCCTACTGTAAGCACTTTAAGATGCCTGGATTTCAATAAATTTATCCTGTTCCACAAATATTTTACCAGAATCCCATAGTATCAGCCATTCGGGATGTGTTGCTGAATTACATGTTCATGCTTCTACGACTCTCTTTACAACCTTATGGATGAGCTACAGCTTCCATATTAAAGCAAACTAATACTCAGGCCTTTTATTATATCACCAATTGTTGTTGCTGTTATAAATACACTTTTTGTTTCTCAGCTTTTTTTAACTATTATTGTATATTTCGTATTTCTTAGCATTGCTGCTGTTTGGGGACAGGTCAAAGGACCAAGCCTAAAAATCAGGAGTCAAATCCAAAGAATCTGGAAAAATGTTCGCAAAATCTTTTTTGCAACAAATTAGCGGCTCGTGACCAAAACTGGGCTCACAACCCAGGGTGCAATTTCAGATAGCCGCTCAAGGTTCACTCAGCCTTCCACCCTTCCGAGGCTGGTAAAATGAGTACCCAGCTCGCTGGGGCAGGGGGTAGCAGTGTAGCCTGCATAATTAATTTGTAAACCACCCAGAAAGTGCTTAAGCGCTATGGGGTGGTATATAAGCATATGATGCTTTGGTTTTTTAAATTTTTGTACTCAAGGTTTTTGGAACAACCATGCTTGCTGAAATTAATACGGGGAGGAATATTATCTGATTTTGCTTCCATATTCATTTACCTAATTGACTTGATGTTTGGTACTTTGCAATTTTTGTACAGTGGTGCCTCGCTTAACGAGCGCACCATTTAACGATGAAGCCGCATAGCGACCCGTTTTTTGCGATCGCTAATGCGATTGCATTGCGATGTTTAGATAGGCTAAACATCTCATTGCGATGTTTAGAAAACAGCTGATCGGAGGTTCCAAAATGGCCGCCAGATCAGCAAAATGGCCGCCCGCAGCGTTTTCACGCTCTGCCCTTGCTTACCGGGCAGCGAAAATGGCAGCTGGATGGGGGAATCTTCGCTTATCGGCGAGGTTTTCCCCAATAGGAACGCATTAAACAGAATTTAATGTGTTCCTATGGGGTTCCCCCCCGCATAGCAACGAATCCGGATAGTGACGTTAATCCTGGAACGGATTAACGTCGCTATGCGGGGCACCACTGTACTTCTGAGGGACAGCTCTGTACATGCCTTTGTAGTATACTGACAGAAGTTAGTGTTACCACGATGATGACGATGACTACTACTAATAAATATTTACTGCTGAACTGTCTACCTCATTTTATTCCACTGTAGAACTGCCAGTATGGCTTCAACAATTCTAGCTCTGATTGGGATTTGCTAAAGTACTACAAAACAGTATACAGAACATTATTCTAAAGATGTAACACATTAGGGTTATACATCAATTTTAAAAAACTGAAACATCAAGGTTACTTGTCATTTTAGTGCATTAGTGTTCATATGCGGGGGGGGGGAAGGAGGGACATTACTATCTCCTTATTCTCCCTGCATGTTACTGGTTTCAGCATTACTTGTAACATGTTGTTTCCAAGCTTAGGAGCAAGCATAATTATACCCATTAGGCAAAGGGTGTTTGGACTGCAGATTCCATAATCGTTGATTCTGGGACTTCCATCTGACATACAGACACCTAAAGGTGGGTCACCTGTGAGAAAGGCCTATGCTAGAAGGCTCTGTGGCCTAGCGCCACCTAGCTTCCCCTTCAGAAAGGAAGCTGCCCCACAGCTAGCTGGGAGCTTCCTTTCTGAACTTGAAGCTTATACAGTGGACCCTCTACTTACAGAATTAATCCGTATTGGAACGGTGGCTGCAGGTTGAAAAGTCTGTAGGTAGAGTCTCCATTGACCCACAATGCATTGAAAACCGACTAATCCCGTAACTGGCCGTTTTTGTTCCATTTTGTTTTTTTTCTGGTCTGTACGTCGATTCTCCAGCTGCAAATCGAACCTCAATTTTGCAGCCAGAGAAGTCTGTAACTCGAAAAGTCTGAAACTCGAGGGTCCACTGTACCAAGCTAGGCCACAAAATCTCCCACCTTAGGCATTTTTCCAGATAAGCTACATTTAGGTGTCCATAGGTGTCTGCATGTCAGGTGGAGCTCTCAGAATGGGAGAATTATGGGATCTGTAGTCCATACAATCCAAAATCCCATGCCTATGTCTATGCACGCAGAAGAAAAAACCCAAACATAGCATTTTCACTGACTTAAGAACAACCAAATGCAGAGAGCACATCTACAACCATTATTCTGTTCACCATCTTCCAAGGCAACTCTTTTTTTAACTTCTACATGATCACTCCTTTTTTTACCATTATGCAAAGTAACATATCCAGCCATACTTCTTTCTTTTTAATAAGTTGCTATTATGAGTAGATGCACAAAATTTTATTTTGTGTGCCTTTGTCAGTTTTTATATGAAGGCAATCATCAGTAAAGTAGCATTGTGACTGACTAGTAATAAGGTGTGGCCTGTATTACCCATCTATCCAATAATATCTGCTGACTCAGGAATGGTAAATACTGTCAGTAGTCTAACCATGAAATCTGTAGTAGAAAAAAAAAGTGGTGGTACCTCATCATACTATACATCTAATGCTAATTTTCTCAAGAGCTTTGACACAAAACTCATACTTCAAATAGAAAATATAACGATGTGCATGTCTGGAAGAAGGGAGAATAGAAGAAGAAAAAATAAATAATAAGTAAAATAGACTTTACTCTTGGCAGTTCCAGTATTCCTGCACAGGAAGAAAAGGTTAATAAGTGACCCCTTCCCTACTGATTTCATTTTTTTACTATGCATACATTTGTTAAAAGCTTGCGTCATTTAATTCATTTGTAAAACTAGAATACTGTTTTCCATCCTGCATTTACCAATTGAATAGCAGTTTTTAGTTGCCACTGCCATCTTACGCTGTAACGCATGCTAATTTAGAAATAAGCATGAAAGCACAATACAGTGATTAATACAATTATTAATGCAGACAGAAAATATAGTAAAAGCACTAGATTATAACAGTGATTTTTAAAAGTAAAGGAAATCTTTTAGCTGTAAAGATGATTGAAGTCCATGATTTACAAGTCCTTTTTATTCTTTGTTAGCTTGGCTTTTTTAAACAGTTTTGGAAATTTCAAAATAGGCAGCTGAAGCTGGGGGATCACACTGCATGCAATACTGAGAAAGTAAATGAAGAAGTGGATAGCAAAGTTCATGCAGCGAAAAAAGAAAGATGCAGGTCTGTGCTGATTACCTTGCACATACATATTAGAAGACACTGACCTGGTACCAAGGGGAGCTCCAAAATCATTCCCATCTTTCTTGTTTATAGCTGTCCTCTCAAATTCTTCCTCCTTGATTTTAACTCTCTTTCTTCCAGGCTGAGAATACTTCTCTTCCATTGCTGGAGCAGGAACTAAGTTCATTGACAATGCTTGAAGAGTAGTTTTCAGAGAAGCTTTACTTTGGTTTGCATCTTCCTTATTTTGAGACAGCAAGCAGGATGTTTCACATTCTGAGGGCACTCTGCTGTTTAAGCTGTCTGCTGGAGCCTTCTTGAGATTAACTGAGTCTTTCATTAACTCTAGGAGGCAAAACAGAAACCCTGCTAGAGATCTGTTCTAATAATGAGTGCACTCATTATAAACAGCAAAGTGTTCCTAATTTCAGAAAGGCCAGAAACAATCTTGTAAGAGTAAGGGAAACTCAATATACATTGAGGTCAGCACAGACTGCAGATAGCCAAACTGTGTATTTGCTTATCTGAGCTTACGAGCTTCACTGAAGACAATGCTCAGTATGTTCATGAGTCATTACATCACTTTAAAATACAGTGGTGCCTTGCATAACGATCGCTCTTTTTGCCATCACAAGAGCGATCACTTTGCGATGGCCCCTATGGGGAAAATTCGCTTTGCAATGATCGCGGGGAAGCAACCATTGCAAAGACCCCATTTTTGGGATGATCGCGGGGAAGCGCTTCCCTGCAATCATCCCAAAGCCCCACCGATCATCTGTGCTTCGTCTCTCTCTCTCTACCCCTCGCAGCTCCAGCCTTGGCAGGGAGACTGAGGCACCGCCACCGCCACTCTGGCCGAAAAAGACCCTCTGCGCCGGGTC